ATTTTTCATCATTCAAGCTTTATGTGACTTGTGGTCCTCACTGCATTCTCTCTTTAGTCATATCCATATTCATATCTATATTTTAAGACTGAGAACTGACAGTTTCAGTTAGATTTTGCCTTCAAAATAATTCTCTCAGGTCCCTTCTAAAATGCAAACCAGCCAACTCTTGCCTTATTGTAATGTCTTGTGAAAGAAGCTCACTTAAAGGCTTTTATCAAACCTCTCCATTAGCTGAAGCATTCAGCAGTGATGAACTTGCTGAGTTGTACAGCCATCTGCAGGAATGCCCTTGATACTGTGGCTGAACAGTGTGTCACTGTTTACTGTGCATTTGTTCTTCAGGTGAGAGAGATGTTAATTGGAATGTAGTGATAGGGAAGTATTGATCATTACTAATTTACCTAGCTATGAAATAGAAATCAGTCTAAACACACCCTCTGCCTGTTAGTAATCAGTACTTCTATGCATTTTTGACACAAACAGAACATAAAACCATCACTTCCATTACTTACAAGTTATATTAGCCATGCTGTAGTGTCATCTGGTAAGTGGCTTAACACTAAATATACTAAGGGGCAAAATTAAGTTTGCCTTCAGTGATGTAAACATTGGCGCAGTTACAGTGCATCAGCAAAAGCAACTGCACTGATACTAAATAAAGGATTGCGGCTTGCAAAGAAAGTGACAGCAGACAGACAAAGTGAATTGAACCACGGGCATGTTGCGGTGAGACATATAAAATAAAATCACAAATGTTTTGGTTTTAATATGTTAGTAGGCAGTTCCCCTTTGTGCAGTGGTGGCCTTGGTAGTTCAAGCCATTGTATCAATGCGTGTGAAACTACATGCTGTGTAACACTGCAGTCAGTGCACCTTTCTGAAGAAACTGGGGAACAATTGCCACATTACAGCATGTAGGGATAGGACAAGGGAGAATGGCTTTAAGATAGAAGAGCGTATATGTAGATTAGGTATTAGGAAGAAATTCTTCACTGTGAGGGTGGTGAGGCACTGGCACAGACTGCCCAGAGAAGCTGCGGCTGCCTTATCCCTGGCAGTGTTCAAGGCCACGTTGGAAGGTGCTTGAAGCAACATGATCTAGTGGAGGGTGTCCCTGCCCGTGGCAGGGGAGCTTTAAGGTCCCTTCCAACCCATGTAATAACCCAGAGAGCTAGAACTCAATTTCAGGAGTATCTGCTGTTCTACACCCATTTTACTGTATTACTCTTCTCAATGACTGGACCTCTGATAGCAGCAAAAATCATAACTGCTCATGAAAGGGTTAAGAACCACTTTATGTTCTTAGTTTCTCCAAAGGTGGCTTACAATTGGAGCAGTGTAGCTGTAGGTTCACCTGCAGAGCAAGATGCTTTTTTAGGAATGGTGCGTTGACTGCATAGGTCAGGGTAGATAAAAGTCTGACATAGCTTCCTAAAAATGGCTTGGGGAGGTGCACGTGTGTAACTGCAGAAAAGGCACTCATCAAAAATATTTGTTTATTGAGCTATAGAAATTACAGACAAAGAGATCCTGTCATGTAAGTGTAGATAGGAATGCTGGAGGAGCTTAAAGAGGGAGTTCTAGGCATGTTACCATATTAAGGGCAATTTCCTTGAAAAAAGAAATTGTAGGGAGAGTGCAACTATTTAAGAAGGAGGTAACAGTTTCTTTCAGTGAATGTTTGTCACAGGAACGCATAGGTGCGTGTGAATTGTTTTACATCTCATTGCTTCTATAAAAACACTTGCTGTATCAAAACCCTTTCTGGAGTGTTTACTGTTTTTTTATTCCAACTGCTATTCTGCTGTTACTGCCTTCCCAGCCTCTCTTCATTTTTGGAGGTTCTTATGTACCACCTAGAAAGGAGAATCTCAACACTGCGCATGATGGAAAATTAATACAAATTGGCAGTGGCTTTTCCAGTCTTTTTGCTCAATACAGTGAGGCACGACACAACAACAACAACAACAGAATTCTTGGCACGCCAGTGCAAGTTCACAGCAGCCTGACTTTTGCAACCCTCTCGTTTCTCTCTGCCACAACTTTGCCACTGCTATGACACTTGCAGGCCTGCTCGGCCGCGGTGCAGCTGATGCCCTGTCCATGCTCATATTTTTCTTATTGACAGTGAGTGTTCTTGCCAAACGCCAGGGACCATAGTCACATCTGTTTGTCTCCCAAGCTTGTCTGAGGCTGCTTGGGAACACTTTTTATCCAGAGGGCAGCTTTAACTAGGCCTAATACTCTGAAAATCCTCTATTTGTAAATGCATACAATGAGGCGACAAGTTCCTGTTGTCTTTCCTTAGAAATTATTCCGTTTGACACTGCTTGCTCCAGTCCCTGTCACCAGCACGTCAAAAGCCAAGTTTTCAGGCAAGGTGGTCTTAACAAGTTTTATTTTTTTCCCTAATAAAATGCCTAGCTTCCCTCCAGAGCACTATTTATAAACAATAGCTGGAAGCAAGCTAGGGGTAAGTAGAGAAAAGTCAGGCAAATAGCTTTCTTCCTCTCCGTAATCTGTGCTCTTCTGATTTAATGCTAAGAAACATAATGCTGAACTTAGTCTGATTAAGAGTCAAAGTTCTCCCTCATTTATAATACTCCCATTACAAGCATTTCAAAATGTAGTGTTCAGCATCAGAACACTACTTCATTTTGTCTAAGCTGCCAGTTCCAGAGCAGTGATATTTTGTGTCTGTTCCTCTTAAAAATCATTGTAAAAAAGCTTTTTGTTTTACTGTGATCTACATTGGCAGCGCGTATCAAATGTTAAGACCTGGCAAAAGCAAATGCCGCTTTAGAATCCCGAACTAGCTTAATGTTTGATGTTAGTGACCATAAAACCAGGTTTGACAAAGCTTAATTTATGCTCTGGTATATTGTTATTTATTTGTGGTGTACAGAGTTTTTGTCGACAACAAAGAAATACCCACTCTCACCTTGGCTGGTGACGGGGTTGTTGTGCTCAGCAAAGGCGAATGATTCATTTATGCTGAAGGAACAAGGCTGCCTTTCAGACGTTCATTGATTTTAAATTAAAAAGTAACTGCTATGTTCTACATGAAGGGTGACAACAATAACAAAGTAGTCCTTACTTAGTGTTATTTGTTGCAACTCCATTTGGTGTGCCTGGAGGAAAAGTGGGGAGACCCTAGTACCATAATCTTACAGATCAATAATCTAGATATCTCAATGTAGTGTAACAGATAATCAATTCTGGGTAAAATAACTCAAACGCTGGTGCTGTTACTGCTGTAGCTCAGGTCTTCAGGTTCAATTGCCTGACTTTATTAATTTTTATCTTTCATCCTGCTTGTATTCCTGGAGACTTTCTCCCTTTTTCATTTGGAAGAGAAAATGGACAGTTGTACTCTGTTTAGCATCGAATTTACCACACAACTTATTCTGCATGTTTAATATCAGTATTAAATATCAATCTATTGATAATTAAACATCTCAAATGTTTCTTTCTCTAAGAACTGTTTCCCCATATTGTATTTAAATATGAATATTGTACAGTCAATTATGAAAGGGTTTCTTTCTATATTTAGAACTGAAATTTATCACTGTGTTAAAACTAGTTCAACTGTGTTCAGTATCTAAATGTTAAAATAGAATGCAGTTTCAACATAGAAGAGTTGTAAGGAAAATATGTGGTTTAGAACAAAGAGAATTGAGTAAGTGTTGAAATAAGGTTTCATTACGTGAAGCGAGATGCACTCCTGTGTGAAACTTAAGTTTCTTGGAATATTTTATTATTTAAATAAAAGCACTCTGGTACTTGTTAATGTACTGTAACATTTTAGGCAAAGTATGTCAAGAATTGTACATTGTCGTCTTTTTCATCAAGGAATTGTTATCACTCTTACATTATTGAGTAGATCTGAGGTCTCTCAACATTATATGACCATTTGTTATTCATTTAGAAGCAGTACAGCTTTAAAAAGTTTATAAATGCAATGAAGGATAAGCCATATATCCTCACTGAAACCAGATCCCGTGAGTGACAGAGTGTTACTGTGCTACACTAGACTGTCAGATGCAATTCTCAGCTTGTAATTTTATCAACATTCACTGCACCTCTGTGGTAAGAATCACAGTTCTCTGTAACATTTATGGAGACGTATTAAGATTGTGAAGTATAGAAATTACTGCCTTTTCCTCCCTTCTGTTCTAGTTCTTCCCCAGAAAAATGCCAGCTACATATATTCCATTCTTTAAGCACTGTATATTACTTGAAGATAAATAACTCTAACTGTCCTTTAAGGTTATATTCCAAAATTCAATATTTGGAAATTCCAAATGTACCCTTTTCGGTGGTACCTGACTTCTAATTGCTGGCTTTAAAGCAATAAGATTTGCTTGTTTGTCATCCTCTGCAGTTCCACCAATTTTCCAGTCTCCAAGTGGAAGCTCATAATTCTTTAATGAGTATAACAGATACTGTGCTTCTATGTTATCATTCTCACAACTTGCCAGTGAATTAGAAAAGGACAAATTGCTGTGCTACAGGTTTATTCCATGCACCTTCAAAGAGTTTACTCTTTCATGTTTTATCATTCATTCTTCAAGTTACCTTAAAGTGAGAATGGTCTTCATGTAATAAATGATGTTCTGGCAGTGGGGTGTTACTAGCCAACTGATCACAATACCAACAGTATTGTGACCTCTGTAGATATTTAATCTTAGCTATTTTCCTGTTAGGAGCAGCAGTGTTTTTGTTTTATGTTGAGCTAGAAAGATTGCCAGTTTTGAAAATTAAAAAGCATTCCCTTTGTATTATTCATTCCTGCAACAATTTACGATGCTGCATTTAGATACTGAGTGCTTGTCAACAAACATAATTATACTTTGATATAAACAAGATTGGTGGCATGATTGTGCAGCTTCATCTCAGTTGAGAATGTTTTGATACAGGTTCAGATTATACAAGCTGTGCATTTACGTGGTGGTTTTCTTCCTTTGTTAATAGTTTTCTTCTGTAATTACTTGCAGGCAAACCAGTGTACATTTAGGATCATTGTGCATGGGAGACATCAAACGGAGAAGGAAAGCTGCTCCCCTGCCAGGACCTACAGGTAACCAATTTCCCTGAGACAGAACACAAAACGCACGATGTTAAATCTCTAAATACAAAGCAGTAGGTCAGTGACCCAGAGAAATGCTTGATAAATTCAGTAACTTCCCATATAACTTCAGGTATGATCTATTTTTATTTGTTAATAGAGATTAAGAAATAAATAGGGTCTCTTAATTCTCCTTCAGACATTTCTGATTTCTAGTCCTTTGTAGTCAAGCCTTTAAAGAGAATGCATCTTTGTTTTCATATAGCGAGAATCATAGACAGTAAAGATTACTGCTTATGTCTGTTGAAGCATTACAAGGTAGGAGACATGAGGTATCTTTTTTCTGTGAGGAATGCATATGAATACTATATAAATACCCTTCACAATAAAGATAGTATGTGAATTCTTGGGCAAGCAATGGAAATGTTAAGGAGATAAAATGAGTGCTGTAGATTAGATAGGGAGCACTTGTAAGCACATTCCTGGAAGATTTTTACAGATGGGAGGTCACCACCACTGGATGCATTTTGCTGATGTCACAGCTGTGAAATGACTTTTTCAATATTTAGGAGTGATTTATAGGACTCTCATCAGTTTGTTGTATTAATTATATATGGTGCATGCTGGATGGATTAGATGTGTGTGTGCCTCTGTAAGGCTTTTTATGTATTGCTAATATGGAACTGTGAATTGCATCTCCTTGTCATATTCATTACTGTAGCAACATAGATAACACATACAGTTTTTCAAGTATATTCTAAATAGGTGTCTTTACAGAAGCCTAATATTTGTATTCCAGCTGAATTCACCCTCCTGAAACTTCTTTGTTTCGAACCTCTGTGGCAGCAACAGACCAAGAATAGCATTAAAAATGTTATAAAAGCACCTCAGTGGCAGCAGTGTGGAAAAAGAGAATGTGTGGGTCAGTTTCTAAGACTCTGAACATATGTGAAGTGAGAAAGAAAAATACTTAATGGCTGAAGAGAGAATAATATCATTATTTCTACAAGGTGATTTTCACTTCACAACTTTCAAGTACTAGAGGATGTCACTTTGTACTGAGAGGGTATGAAGTATCATGAAATTAATTTTGTTATTCATTTTACCTTGGGCTTTCAACATTAAGTATTTTATTTTACGAGCTAGCTCCTCTGCGTAACTTTGCAAAGCCAATATTTTGATACTAAGGCAAATATATTATGTGGTCATTCAATGTTATATATCTATCTATTCACAATTTTAGAGATTTTTTTGCCCCCCAAATGTGCCCTTATATGGAGAGTGACAGGTAATGGTGGTGGATAACGGTATCGTATGAGGTACCTTGTAACTAATGTGTGAGTTTTTCTTTTTCAGGCTCAAGGTGCTATTTTCAATTTTGTTCTGGGCAGGAGGATTGTGATTTTTTTTTTCTATGGTCTTTATATAAGGTTTTTTCTACCTTTCATCATTGTATATTTTTAAGCAAATAGAAACTTTGGTAAACTTTGAGTAAACTTGTAACATACGTTTAGGTAATATTTATAAATTACTTATATAAATTAAATAATGTTTATAAATTACAGTGTATAAATTACTAGAGCTTTCTCAAAAGCTAACCTTCCTACAGGTAAATTATTGTTTAGCCATCACAATCCTTGTTTATTTGTCATTGTCAGTATTTCTTGCCATTTAATGAAAGAAACAGGGTCTTGTTTTAGAATGGAAATCCATTTGGATTAAAATGAAAGATCACTTTTTGATTATTCTTCTTTCAGTAGTTATAGTTAGCTAACATAAAGGAGCAGAAGGACTAAATTTTATGGAGAAGAATTTGTAAACCTTTTTTCTTGAAAGAAAGGCAAAATTATTTACACGAACAAAAGTTGGAAGTGGGAAGAAACCTTCTGCTAATAATTGTCCCTATTTAACATCGTAGCAAATCCTGAAAGGCTGTCTGTGAATGTTTTCTTGAGCTGTGTGTGCTACAGATTAGCAAAGTTTCATCCAATATGAGCGAATCTGTTCAAAATAGTATTTTTTTTAATTATTTTGTGCATTTTTTGAATAATTTCCATTGTTAAGCTAGTCCTTATCACACTGTATGGTGTTGAAAATGGTAATTTATATGTTTAGCTTCAGCAGTACTGAAAAGAATGACTGGGGGTCCTGATAAAGTATCAAAACCTGTTCTCTGGTTTGGAATCTCACAAGGGTAGCCCCTGCTACTTTCAGACACCTTACAAAGCCAGAGACTTCTGTAGCAAGCAGTGTGATTGGTTAAACATTTATTAATTGTGACAAGAACACCCAATTTGTTTCAGTACTCCAGCTTATTTACTGCTCTTTCACCTTAGTATTTTGTATTGAAAAAGTAAAATGAATATTGATAGAGGTAGGTATTGATTTCTAAATTTATAGCCTGTTCTCAGTCCAGAGTCAAAGTCATATACCAGTAGGTTTGTGTATACTAGTAACAAAGGATGTAGATTTACTTGTACAGCAATGAGAAAGTACTGAAGCAAGAAAGTTTCAGCAGCAAAGAGCATTTTATAGTTTCAAAAATGTCATTTGTAAAGGTGAAGAAACTCTGTGTTCGAATCAGTGTAGAAAATGGGAGATAATTCAAGTGTGGATTGTTAGGAGCTGACAGTACTGAGGCAGGAGTGTCCTATTCTGCCTTTTTTACTAGGATACATTTTCCATTTTCTGTTTTGTGGATACTTGATATAGTCCCATCTGTGCATTATTGAACATAGCTCATTAGTACATCAACTAAAAAAGATACTAGTAAAGATCATTTACTTCCTATGATTTCTTTCAAGAATTAGGTGGTGTGTGTTATAAAAAATGTACTTTTTTGCACAGCTTATTCCATGAAACCAATATAATTTCAGTGATTCTAATCAGATTTGCGACCAGGTCACACTCTCACTGACTTTGTGCCCTCTCTGACTACCTGAGTGGCAGAACTGTGTCATATGACACCCTGACGTATTTCATTGCAGCGATACAGTGCCCTGAAATTCGTATAAAAACCTCTTAGACAAGCTAATACATTATCATGGAAATAGTCCTACCAAAACTGGGTCCTCTATTAATGAAAATAATAACAAAACACCAAAGAACTTCTGTGGAAGAGAAAGGACATTCTCTGCAAAGTGTTATTACTACCTGGAATGCATGCTTTGAGAAAGTTTTACGGTCTTCTCAGCCTTACATTACTTAGGCTCATAGCAAATCAGTAGATCCTACAAAATTTTAGATGCTATATTCATACATTGACTATGCATTTAGCCCAGTTCCTTTCCTTTCCTACTAATTCTGTCTTTTTCTGTACAAGCTTTTTTTCTCAGTCAACTCCTATTAAATCCCAAAGACCTCTTAATTTCTTTTTTGTTTGGTTTTTAATAAGAAACCTCTGGATCTTAAACACTGGGAAAAATCATCCAGTTCTGTTTCATATCTGTGGGATTTTAATAACTTAATTTACAGAATGTAGAAATTTTGATTCAGAACAAGAAAAGTTTCATTGATGTGCCTTATAAATAGCCATTTATTTCCATTGGAAAACACTCTTTTTGCTCTGATGTTTGCAGTTTGGAGCAGTGTAGAAAACCTGCAAAAACTAATTTTGAAAAGAAAAAGTGATTTTCTACTTAAAATACAGGGAATGTGCATATAAAATATAAATTATTGCATTTTATGGGGACTTTAACACTTACGGTTTGCAAAAGCAAATTTCAGCTGTCATTTTCTTTATCTCGTTGGCATGCTACACTTCAGGCCAGTGCTGATTGAAGTGACCAAGTTAAAAGTCTCATTTTAAAGAATGTGTTTTAATGAAAAATATGACAGATTCTTAATTACAGCAGAAGTACTGAGCACTGCAATAATGCTATCATGACTCACTTTAACAAGGTAATCAAAAGGGTACATGTTTTCATTCCTTTTTAAAAATTGCCAACGGAACAGCTAAGCAAACTATTTTGCTGATGCTTAATATGTCAGTGATTAAAAATCAGACCTGAATATCTACAGTACCAAAATGGTGATTTGAAAAAAATGGTGATTGCACTGTGGTAACAGAGGTGGCTGAGGCTAAGTTTGTGGTGAAGGTCAACTTAGTGAGATATTTGTAGAAGAAGGGTAGACTTTTGTGTACTTGGGTGAACTGGCAGTTTATTACCAAAACTCTAGACAAACATATGCCTACTTTCTTTTTAGCTTGATTCACTGTTGTGGTTTTTTTATGCTAAATATACAACTCCTAGGCAGAAATCTCTTTTCAGAGGGTAATACAACGTTGGCATGTGTTATGAATGCTTTCCCTTATTGCCTTGCGGTATTTCTTATCCTTAGTCTACTGAAGTCCTTTCTGGCATACGCAACATATCTGCTTGACAGTCTGGCCTATGGATACTCTTCTTCCTTGGGTTGGTTTATGCAGCAGATTAAATTTGTTCCATTTTTTGTTTCTCTTACCATATAGTCTCACTAAATCAGTTCAAAACTTAAAAGGTTGCAGAGTGCCATCTGGTATTGGAAACCGCTGTCCTTTCCAAGCAATAGACTTTTCATGTTGAGCTTGAGATCACTGGTTCAAACAAGGCCCCTTACATATAAATAGCAGAGTAATGAGGAACTTCAGAAGAGCCACAGTGCAACAAGAACCAAGCTTATACTGAGAATTTGCTGATGGATTTCAGCCTATATATTGACACTGCCAATGCTAATGTAATAACTTTTATATTCTGATGCCTTCTTTACTGATAGATTACAGTGAGCATTGTTTGCATAAATAAATAGGCAACAGGTTATTTAGCCCATAGTAAAAATTATGCAGACGTGTTTGCTTAGCTGTAATGGATTAATCTTCATTTTTAAATGAAGATAATTCGATATCCAACCACAAAAGCACAGAATAGAAGTGGAACTTACATTACATAATAACAGAAGTGGAACTTCATCTCCACTATCCCTACAATCGATCCCAAATTGAGTTAGGGTCAGATAGAGCTGCTGCAATGTAC